GTGGCTAAGACTTGTCGTGCAGTGGAGCACACCCGCTGTGTTTCCCCCTTATGATTCTCCGAGGTCTAGCCTTACAGGTGAAAATAGCGCACTCGGGTGGTAAGTCTAACACAAATGACCTGGCAAACCTTTCTTTCTACAGTCAAGACCGTTGTGCATGACTGTAAATGCACATCCTTGAAAAGGTGATTCCATTAACCAAGACTTTGCAGTCCTGGGACAGAACACAACGGATCTAGAGACGACCCCGATTTAAAAAAAAAAAGCTCAAATTTGATCTACGTGCTCAGAGACTGAATGGCTGTGGGATAGTCAGTCGTAAACGTGGACGACTGCTCAGCGGAAGGGGCAGCGCCAGACTCGTGGCCTCCATAGGGACATCCATTGCCTTTTTTCTAGCAAGCAGGTTCTACTAGGGTGACCGGCTACTTTATGCTTCATAACAATTTTATCATATGAGTTTTTCATTCTTTAGGAATTGTCGCCGGAGTTAAGGAACACGTGCTCTGCGCTTGACGTCATCTTAAGTGCACAGCAAAGAGAGAGTGAAGAGGAGAAACCTGAAAAAAAGTGTACAGTGCTAGCTCTCCCACTCTCCATTTCCAATGTTTTCTTGGTGTCGACGCCGCTAGTGGTACTAGCAGTAACAAATACTGCAATACTGAGTATTGAACCACGACCGCTTTCTCAATAGGCCAGCGCTCTGACCACAACACCGCCGTGGCTCATCTATGTGTTCCTTTCCCTGACGTCGGTCTTCTGCTTGTCTTCTCTTGGTATAACATACAAAGTTAAATTCATTGATTTCCCCTTTTCTTCCTTCCGTTGTCTTTCTCCAGGATTCCTTCGGTCATCGCCGTCTCCCATTTCCATTTACCGTCCCCACGGAAAACTGCCCTCGCTAAAACGTCACGAGGCAGTCAGCAAACATGCTCAAGCCATCCCCATTATCTGCTTCGATAATTAATGTTTGCAAGCGAGTAATATTTTGTTTTCGCTTTCAGTTCAGCATCTGTGATTCGGTGTGAACACAATAATAATTGAGAAAAACGATTCAAATCAGGCTGTTGATTTCCTGTCGGTTTCATCACCAGTTATTAGCCTTCCTGTAGAGGGTGCACATCGTTTAACAATGTTAAACACAGAACCAGATTTGGCAAGATGCATGTCAAATGTGGGAAAGTATGCATAAGAAAGTAAAAAAAGTAAAGATCTCTTTTCCACGCCTTAGGCATACTGGGCACATCGTACTATATCTACATTTGTATCGACCAACTGGGGTACCCTTTCAATGCTGGGGCGACCTAAGAGCCAAGTGTCATTAAAAAAAAAAGTTCGGTTCCTTTTGGACTCGAACCCACGACCTTCGGATCGATAGGGAGCATCTAGCCGCTATACCACGGCTGCTTCCAAGAGTGTGTATTAAACTGTTGAGATGGAGATAGTAAAAAGTTTGATCAAAAACATATAAGCAAGGGATATAGATACTTACCTCACAGAGTATACTGTTAGAGTAATAATGTTTACTGATAGTTTTCTGCTGTCTGGATATATATATATATATATATATATATATATATATATATATATATATATATATATAGAGAGAGAGAGAGAGAGAGAGAGAGAGAAAGAGAGAAGTTTAGCTGGCTATTCTCAGTTGGAGTCAAGAAGATTACCAGGTAGAATTATTTATTTTTTAAACATTATGATTAAATGTTTTGCCTCGTACGAAAAGGACTTTGTGTTAGGAAGCAAAACAAAAATGAAAACTATTTATAATAAAAACTGTTTATCATATATGACCCTAATGTCTTGATATAGTGCTGGAAAGGTAGAAAAGTTCTTGCTAGATCATGAACTAGCGTTGAGCTAAGCGCAATTAAGATCCCCTAATAGTTGGTGAGCAAACCGTAAACACTGACTATTATTCTGCTGAGTAACCAACGACCCAGCTGCATCGAGATACCAGCTAAGAGATTTTGTATTGTTTAATTTGTATGTGCTGATGAAGGCTCAATAGCCGCAACGTTCACGTTTTGTTCGTATTTGTTATATTGTGAATCATGCTAATATACTTTTCGTTTGGGTTTATATCTTTTCTTGACTATTGTGTGATACTTTTGGATTTCGAAGATAACTATTACCCGCACAATGAATAATCTAAGCGTAAATAACGTAACTACTATTGATTTAGTGCTCCTCGTCAAGAAAGCCATTTACTGGTAACATATCTGAAAGCTGTATATTAACGGATTAAAGTTGGAATTTAGATATGTGGTCTTTCAGTAGATGATTGAGAGCATATGACAGTAGAACGTTTGCGACAATTTAGCAAGCAGATTTGAGCTGTGAGGATCACCATCAACAGTTGATGCGGGAGACTGGGCATATGTGGGTTTAACTAAATGCTGATATCAGCTCTTAAAACAGTTAAACTCTAAATATAGCTTGCTGCGCCCCATGGGAGGAAAAAAAAACTGACTGCCCCTATCAAGCA